AAAGTAAGTAAATAAGTACTCTCTCTCTCTCTCTCTATATATATATATATATATATATATATATATAACCTTATTAGGCTCGGTCTTTACCGTGTATAGTTAAGATAAGCTAGTACTACTACTATTAGTGCAATAGTACTAGTAGTCTAGAATTTTAGTAATTAATAGTAGTATATAGACGCCGTAATTAGTATTATATGATATAGTCTATATTAAGCTAATCTAGTTGTTCAAGAAATTGATCATGTAAATAGTGCCAACATCATTACTATGTCTGTCGTATGCCAGCCGGCTTGATGAGCTCTGGTGTTGTGCAAATGTTCTCGTCGGTAATGGAGTGGATGGGGCAAATGTAGTATGGTTGGCATATTATTATAACATATTCATTATTTTCACTCATAATTTATTAGAATATGCTATGTAGCAAGAGATTATTTTGTGTTGCCCTTTTCAAGGTCTTACTTATATACATTGTTTTCCACACTACAAATACAGTTATGTTAATGTCACATTAACCCTTACTTTGATTAGTTAATTTTTTTTTTTTTGAGTTATGAAATTCGTGAGCTGAACAAACTTGAATAAAGAAAAATTAATAATGAGAAATGGCAGTGTTTTGATTACTTGATTAAATTATTTTGGGACATTTATCAATGTTATTGTTGCTCTTAGGTAACCAATTAATTGTCTATCTTTACTCCTATGTTGTTTTTTCACATCATTAAAACTGCATAAATACACTGTAGTAATTATTCCACTCTTAGAGTTTGTCATTGTAAAACATGAAATTGATCTGTCAATTAAGAGCTGTCTTTGTGTGTGTGTTTATATTTTTTGCACATAACCAAAGTTTTCTTTCATCTGGTTTAATAGCAAGAAGAGAGTTTATCTGCAGAACCTCGTGTTTCAAGTGGTCTTACTCTCTCAGCAACTGATGAGTTGGATATTGAAGATTTGTATACTAAATACAAGGTATATTTGTTCTGCTTGAGAGCTAGAGTTATATTACAGTTAAGTCATTTTACACATTTATAAAAGGTGTCATGTAATGCAATTTAGGGAAAGGTGTTTTGCCCTAGTTTTCAGCACAACAGTCAAAAACAGAACTTTTTATAAAGTAATGTGTATTTATTTTTATCTAGATATATATTATACAATTTAAGAACAATCTTAAAATCCAACTGAAAAGAACTTTATTGAATATAGGTTGTATAGTTCTGGTCTGTTTCCAAAATGGCACAGAGTGGGTCTTCTACTCTGCATGCATGATTACATTGTCATGGGTTATATTCTCTAATGAATCTTGTTTACAGTAAGTTAGATAGTATATATCTGTTACCAAAAATGTAGTAAGATGTTAAACAATCCATATTTAAATCTACTTCTCTAGAAACTCCAACGGCAGCTTGAATTCCTAGAAGTCCAAGAAGAATATATAAAAGATGAACAGAAAAACTTGAAAAAAGAATATCTTCATGCTCAAGAAGAAGTAAAGAGAATCCAAAGTGTACCCTTAGTCATAGGACAGTTTCTTGAAGCAGTAGATCAAAATACAGGAATTGTGGGTTCTACTACAGGCAAGTAATATATTTATAAACAGACTGAGTTGTAGTTTAACTCTTTAATGTTCTTTAGGTTTATATACGGTTGCTTTACTAGTTTTATTTAGATATTAACTGGAAATTTTTATTGAAATAGCATCTAATACTATAAAACAGAGTGTGTATCTGTGTCTGTCT